CTTATTGTATAACTACTTCTAGTATGCCTGTCCGGCGATGTCGCTTGATTACTCCTAAGACAGCTGAGTTGTTTTCCGCTACCTATAATGATTTACAGCCTCGTATTTCACTGGATACTGGTCATGAGACCGTAGATGAGTCATTAGCTCGGTTTAACTCTACATGCACGGACATCCTTGACTCATGTGCTCCTTTTAGGAATAAATGAGCCAGAATTAAGTCTGAACCTTGGCTAAATGAAAACACCCATTCACTTAAACTGGTTTGTAGGTGGGCAGAGTGGAAGTGGAAAAAAGATCGTCTTCACATTTTGCTGGATATTTTAAAAGACCGATTAAGAGATTATCAAAGTACTGTCAAACATGCTAGAGCTCAATACTTTTCCTGGCTTATTGTAAACAATTGTCATAGACCCAGGGTGTTGTTCAGCACCATAAATATGGTCTTATATCCATCTACTGCTGCTTGGATGGATGTGTCCTCCGCTACTTGTAATGAGTTTCTTAAATTTTTTGTGGATAAAATTGTTATGATCAGATCCCAGATTGATGATTCTGTTCTGGATCCTTCTGTTGCTCCTATATGCTCAGCTGTTTTCGACCAGTTTGAGCCTATTTCATTAGCTGCTCTTATGAAAGTAGTTCAGCTTGTGAAACCCTCTTATTGTCCTTTGGACATTATGCCAGCAGTTCTGTTTAAAGAGGTTTTTCATAGCATTGGTTTGGACATTGTCAATCTTATTAATGGCTCTCTGGCTTCTGGGATTGTCCCAACGGCACTTAAACATGCAGCGGTTCAACCAATTCTTAAAAAACCCAATCTTGATAGTACTGTTTTATCGAATTATAGACCAGTTTCTAAGTTACCATTTTTGTCTAAGATTTTAGAGAAAACGATTTTTATACAGTTACAGACCTTTTTAGAGAATAATGGCATATTTGAAAAGTTCCAGTCTGGTTTTAAGACACACCACAGTATCGAATCAGCGCTGTTGCGAGTATTTAATGATCTTGTGTTTACTGTGGATGAAGGTAATACTGCTATTCTGATTCTCCTAGATCTTTCAGCTGCTTTTGACACAGTAGACCATCGTATTTTGTTGTCCCGTCTGCAGCACTCTGTAGGACTTCATGGTAATGTTCTTAAATGGTTTGAATCATATTTGTCTGATAGGAGTTTTGCTGTACATATTGATGAGTTCTCTTCTTCTGTTGTTCCTTTGAACTGTGGTGTGCCTCAGGGATCCATCTTGGGGCCAGTTCTCTTTTCTTTGTATTTACTTCCCCTTGGATCGATTTTTATGAAATATGGGTTGTCTTTTCATTGTTATGCGGATGATATTCAAATTTATTTGCCATTGAATGTCAAAAAGAGCAACTCATTTCAGACCTTGATGGATTGCCTGAGGCACATTAAGGCATGGTTATCACATAACTTCTTACATATTAATGAAAGTAAGACAGAATGTGTTGTAATTGGTAACTCTGGTGTCACTGGTTCTGATATTCCTAGTTTTTTGGCCTCCTACTTGAGGCCTCATGTGAGAAATCTATTTGATGGTGCTCTTAAGCTGGACGAACAGATAATACAGATAAGACAGATACATGGTGCTGTTAATAAAACACAAACAGTTATACTAAACTTTATCCTTATAAAGCAAAATAATACTAACAGTAAGTAAAACAACTGCAACTCCTGAAATCCAATTCTAACAGTACAATGACTGGCAAAGTGGACAGTACTTTTTTCTTTGCTTTGCGGATTGTCACTAATTTAAAATTTGTCACAAACATAACTTCATCTTGAAGTTTTTCTCATCCTTTGTTTTACTCTTTCTTTTCTCTGCTCGAGAGGGATACCTCTGTTTTTGCAACATTACTCTAGCCGGTACCTCTCAACCTCCTGCACAAGCTCGGGCTCCTTCCCCACCAGCGACGTGGCATTCCATGTCCCCAGGACTAGTCTCCGTGTCCAGAGATCGAGTCGTCGAGGCCCCTGCCTTTTACTGCTGCCCGATCCACTGTGCACCAGCCCCTTATGGATCCTCCTGCAGGTGGTGGGCCCATGGAAGGATGTCCCCACGTCACTCGTTTGGGCTGAGCCTGGCCAGGCCCCGTGAGGTGTGGCCCAGCTACCAGGCGCTTGCATTCGAGCCCCAAACCCAGGCCTGGCTCCAGGGTGGGGCCCCGAAAGCAAACAGTCCATGCTGGGGGTGAATGGGATCTTTGAGGATGCCATACCAGACAGTGATGCAGCTGGTCAAGATGCTCTCAATGATGCAGCTGTAAAAGTTGCAAAGGATCCTAGGCAACATGCCAAACCTCCTCAGCCTCCTCAGGAAGTTCAGCCACTGTTGGGCCTTCTTGACCAACTGTGTGGTGTTAAGTGTCCAGGTGAGGTCCTCACTGATGTGGACGCCCAGGTATTTGAAACTGCCCACCCTCTCCACTTCAAGCCCCTGGATGAACAGTGGCTGATGAGATCTCCTCTCCTTCCTCATGTCCACTATCATTTCCTTTGTCTTGTCCATGTTGAGGCTGAGATTATTGTCCTTGCACCATGACACCAGGCCATGACACCAGAGGGAATAAGA